ATTGGCGTCTGTTGGCGCCAAGTGGCGTCAGCGCTAATAGACATCTATGGGCAGACTTTCAGTGAATAAAATTCCTCTGGGGTGTCGTTAGAAATAGCGGAATAGTGCATAATTTTCATTCTTATGGCGCTCATTTCTTTCATAAAAACGATAATCGTTGTTTCAGGTAAAATGTGGCCGGAGGGGTTACAAATGGATCAGGAAATTTTGCTGGATGCCGGTGCACAACTGCACCGGTTGAAGATGTTTCCATACTTTGATATAGCCCACTATATCCTTGTAAGTGCCGATTATTAATTTTTTTTCTAATTTATTTCTGCTGAAAGGTGAGTTTTCACCAAGTGCTCAGTAAATATGGTAACAGAATAACTGTCTCGCGAAACCAGTAACTCAAAGTGAACCACAATGCCTTCCTATATCCGATTTATTTTGGGTCGTGGCAGCAGAACTAGCATAAGGTAGTCCGCTTTGGCAACCTGCTGCGCAAGTCACAGCTCCAAGGTCTAGTGGCTTCTTTTTGAGCTTTAGTTGGGCTCTTTCGTGGAATGCAGGCTTATGCTCAAGAATAAATTATAACAACTCCGCAAAGTTGACATCTCGTGAATTTGTCATCTAACAAAATTGACTGGTGATTCCGTGAGCATTGAGCATGGCACCAGATCTGAGTTTTCTGTCCTCTGCAGCTGAAGCTTCATCCCTTTGAATGATTGAAACGGGGTTACTGAACGGTGTTTCATCCGTAACGCTATGTTTTTTGGAATCATTGTGAATCTGCTGGCCGGTCTTGATGCTTTGTTCGGCAAGGAACTGAACTGTTGGCCAATTGGCAGATTTCGTACCGCAGTGTCTGCCTACAGGTGGTTGCAAGAAACCCTTCGCGTGATTCTTTTGTGCCTTCGAGCTGACACCATTATTTAATGCCCTAGGAGGTTAAAGGGAGCATTAAATAACGGTTTCGGCCTAACGTTCCCACTTGATTATCGTTTGGCCATTCCCATCGGCTTTGACAATCGTTCTAGCAAGCAATGAGTCTTTTGGGCAGTTGTACTTCTCTTCTCCTTTGAACAACCTCTTGTCCTTGATGACTGCTAGGAAGCGGGTGCGGCGCGACAAAAGTGTACGACTTTTCCTCTTCCTGACGAGCTTCTGCTTGTCGTGATCGTCGCGAGGTTTCCAGATCTTACAGAGATACACTTTAGTTGGTTGCTAGCAGTTTACTTCATCGACGTGGGGGATAATTCAGTGCAGCCACCGTTTTTCCCATGCTTCCGGCTGAGAACGCATCTGTTTTCTCTTTACGATTTTCTTCATCTGCGATGTGTAACGGAGACAGTGCAAACGTATAGAAGTTTGTCTTCAAGTGAATCACGCTCCACATTCCGAAACTTGATGGTTTATTAGGTCGTGAAATGATGAGACGGTGTCGAATTCACGAGAGGGGGGGGTGGGGAAAGTTCACTGAGATATGCACATGTTCATTGCCATTCTCTGTAAACTGACTTATTAAGGCAAATATGTAAGCAGATTCCAGTGTGAGGCGGATAGGTGCGATCGCGACTCGTCACCTGATGAGATATTGACGAAGCGAGTATCAAGTAAAGAGGACATCAAGAATTAGCTAAATGCTGAGTTATAGTACCATATAGGGACTTCACAATAAAATATTTGGATTTTTCACGCCAGCCTGATGTAGGGTGACGAAAAATTGCAGCGTGTAAGATTTGACTCCGTTCTAAACATCGTATTACTACGCGACTTCCTCCGAGAATTGAAGTCGCATCTCCCGAAGAAAGTCAGCTGCTTTCCAAAGAAGGGCCTGAAGGGCCTGCTAACAGCTCGACTACAAAATCCCCAATCCGATAAACTCCTATGTTTGTGAATTCGTAGTGGAGCATCTGAGCAGCTGAATCAGGGAAAGTTTGGTGACTTCGCGAATCGAACTGGATTTGGAAATTTGCATAAGGCAGTTGACACGATAAATCCCTAAGACGAGTAGGATTAATACGCCTGGCAGGACGGAATTCCGCGCCCCTGAGCAGGCGCTGCGTAGCGCCTTTTCCAAGGAAGGTACCCTTATAAGGCCCTATCAAGCTGCAACATACCGACCCGGACGCCCACCGCGCCCGCCCGCCCACAAATGGACGACCGTACCTGGTGCTCGTATTGCTTCATTTGCGAAGTAAAATATGAAGCGAAGGGATTGATATGAAGCGGCCGCGGTGCTGCATGGATATATGAGTACATACGTGCAGCCGTATCTACCGTAGCGGTTATTGGCAGTACCTACGGGAAACTCGTCCAAAATCGCTTTCTGAGTCATTAAAATGAAGGCTTTTCTTCGCAGGTTTTTGACCGTTTCACTTCGTTTTTTTCGCATGTTCTCCACTATACGGACTCTGCTAGCATTTTAGACCGAGTGCCAAATTATCGTGCCATATGCCTTTAAGTTAGTAGTTAGTCACCTCCGCCGGATCATCGAATCATTGAAGAAATGGATCACGGCAGATGTCGGCAACTTATAGAATTCTTTGTAATTCTAGAACGTTTCAGTTTATTCTTTTTATAAAAATAGATGCATTTAAATGCTGGTTGGCAGAAAATGAAATTGGAACGCTTGCATGGCTCATGTGATTTTTTTCGTCACCCTATATAATGTTTCGCCTCGAAAATTAGTCAACAGTTTATTGAAGAAGGCTGAATTTTTGTTTCCTTATGGTCTGAATTTAGATGATCTGTGAGGTGCGCGACGATCTTGCCTCTTCAGCAAGTCTATTCTCTCGCAAACACCCATTATCATGTTGGTTGTCCTCAATGCTGATGTGCTTTGCGGATTCGTTCCTAGCCAATTTCCTCCTTGGGGAACCTGTTATTGCTCCATTTAAGCGACATGACGACATTCTTCTGGTAAGATATTTTGTTATTTAGTTTTTACACATTCTATCCTTACATCACTTTTTTTGTTAGGCGACAATCGTGTGGTATTTGGTTTTCTATGCGCCGTTCGATGGTATTTACAAACTTTCTAAAATTATGCCTATCTATAGTGTACTGTCAGTAATGAAGGAGGTGAAGCGAGCTTACAAGGTGGGTTGGTTTCGAATAATCTTCTCAAGTGTTGTTTCAATAAAATGTGTGGGTGTCACAGTCCTCACCATGTGACACCCACGGGGTGTCACGGTATTACTGAACTAAATTTGCCATTATCTTGTTTTTGTGTAAGTTGGTTGCTGTTTGTTCACGATCTGCTATCGAGCAAGCGGAGAAATTAGTTTTCTTCAAAATTTTGGTGCTTTTTTGGAGAAAAGCCTCTCGGAAGACTCTCAATGTTGTTTCAAAAACGTGGGTGTCACAGTCCTCACCATGTGACACCCATGGGGTGTCACGGTACTAGTGAACTAAATTTGCCATTATCTTGTTTTTGCGTAAGTTGGTTGCTGTTTGTTCACGATCTGCTATCGAGCAAGAGGAGAAATTAGTTTTCTTCAAAATTTTGATGCTTCTTTGGAGAATCCTGTCGGAGGACCATCAAAAGGAAGCTATCAATCGTAAAGATAAATTGCAAATCTCCTGTGCTCCACACACGAGTGAGACACATATACCAAAATAAAGATATAACTAATTTTACTGAATGCGGACTGAAACTGATGGCTTTTGTTTGTTTGTAGCCAGTGTCAAAAACCAGTCTGGTTGTCACAGTACCGACAGAAATGCCAGCTATGTCTCAATAAATAGCTATGTCCGGATGAAAAATCTACTGTAAGGTGCTAAGAATACCTTTGGAGTTACTAATGAAAATGACACAAAATTATACCATGGGTTCAAAATGCGAGCTTATTTATTTTTTAGTGCCATCTTTATGTCCAGTAGTCCCCACTTACTTCACATAGGATAACTAAGATTCGCTTCTCGGAAAACTATTCTGAATCAAATGTATCACTCTCACGGTTAAGTGACTGTTGCCTACCCTCCGACCCCAGCCCGCCACTAGCCATTTTCTGCGGCTGCCACAACGATATAGTGATTGCTATATGGTTTCGAGTGTGGTGGCGTGGGTAGCTCAATTGACCGCAGTTGAGAAATTTTGACCAAAATTCCTCGAAAAATGTATCAAAATCGGACTTCTGAATTAATGGAACTAGCAACGTCCGGTTATCTTCCACTATGATAGATATATTAGTTTATCCAGCCAGGCTGATGCTCCAATAAATAGCTGTGGTCCGGAGTGTAATAAATACTTGAAAGGGTAGAATGCTTTGTGTAGTTACAAGTGAAAATGACAGAAGTATTAGACATGGGGTTCAAAATGCGAGTTATTTGAAGGTTTTTTTTTATTCCATCTTTATGGCCTATTCACCGTTTACAATTTCGAAACTCAGACCATATTGCGGCAAAATTTTACTCCAGAGTGGGATATGACTAAATTGCTCCCGGAAATAGTTGAATTCATTATACAATCACCCGTTTGAAGTGAATGTGACAACCCGAATTCCCAGCCGCACAGGCCACTTCTGGCGGCTGCACACGAAATAGAATGTGCTAATGCTGTTCGAGGTGGGGGAGCTCAGATGACCGCAGTGGAAGAAATTTTGGCCAAATATGTTCCTGGAAAAAAAATGATAGTCAAAATTTGCTCGAATATTGAAGGAATTTGGAAGGCAGGTATTTCCACTATTGATGAGAAGTTCATTATAAACAAATGGAGCGCTTGTGTGAGGATTTGAGAGGACCGGATTTGGAATGTCTTGGAACTCGAGTAAGATCATCATTTCTCAAGATTCTAGTAGCCACCAGTTGTTTGGCTAATTAACGTTAATGAACGATAATTGCTGGTGTACTGATGGTTAGTAGAAATATAGCCTAGAATTGCGGCAGTTATTTTGAGGGGAGAAGGTCGAGTGTAATGTATACTTTAAAATGTGGGAAACTGATAGTGCGCTCCAATCAGAGTATCAAGAAGTTGGTTTCGATTTCTTTACTTTTGACTTTTTCCAGCTATTCGTTTTCTTAGCTAGAGAGATGAAGTGTCCAATAGTCCTTACGTGTACTAATACATGACTCAAGTGTACTCATACATCGAACTGATGACCAGTTTATAGACCAAACACCATGTTAGAACAAACTTTGGCTGTTTTTTTTCGTTCCGAGTGTCAAGCGACACTCTGACCTACTTATTTGAGACTCACCTGCTAACTTAAGGCAATTTGCAGAAGCGGGTGGAGTTTCTGCGGAGTGGGTGGAGCTTCTTACATGGAGGGCCACCAGTAGCAGCCAAGAAACGCTAAAAACTTGAGAAAGGATCGAGACTTGCTCAAGTGGGCTTGGCTAAAGGGGTAGGGCTCAGTATGTCATTGCACAAATAGATATGAAAACATTCGTTTTGAAAAGAGTGGATGTGAAGAGAACGGCATCGGAAAAGTTGTAAAAATTTTCGATTTCTAACAAATTTGTGAAAAGTTAGGTGGTGTGGCCCATATGTCGATGTGTAGTTATTTTCATTTAGTGTAACTGCGAAATAGCAAGTGCTAAAAAAAGTCTGAGAAGCAGAAGTTACACGACAAAATAAAACGCTCATGAGGTGGGGAGTGCAGAAGTGTCTAGTGTGGCTTGTTCAAGCAAGTGTTGATTTTAGTTCTGAAAATCGTGAATTTGAATTGGAAATAGTGTATATTATAATTACTCATTTATTTATTTTCTTGCATCCAAAAGAATAATGTACATCTGGTAATTGTCTATTTTTCTGCGCTCAGAAGACGGGCTACCAAGGGCACATCATTGGTTGGGGATTTTCGTCATGTTCTGCGACCCCTCCCCTTTTTGGGTTGGAACGGCCCTTCTAGTTCCCTCTTCTGATCGAGTTGTCGAGCGGGGAAGAGGGAGGGCTATAAAGTACACATGAAACAGGAAAAGCCGCGAAACGTCATCAACCCCAGCAACCCCTCTCAGAATGGAGATGCGACCCATTCCCCTTTACAACGTCTCTGAAACAACAAAGATCAACCATCAAAAAAATTTTCTCAACCCAAATAGACCCCCTGCTGGAGAATCCCCAACAACGTGCCTTGAGCGCTGCAGTCTGTTGACTATAGCTGCACTTCAGAAACTGTCGTAAAATCAGGTATTGAAGGTGATCAACTTGAAAAAAGTTTCATGATTCAGTTCCACGTTTCCGCTCCAGCAATTTTGCTTTTTGAAGCGTAATTTCATTCGTAATCATTGTTAAGGTGACTCATGGAGTATCCCATGCCGCGAAGCTCTATCCAAGCTCTTACATTGTGCAAGTGCTTGTAGGAACTGCAAAGGGTGCTGGATCGGGAATTTTGAGAACGGTCGAGCAGGTCAGTTGTTTTACTCGCATGCATTTACTGTATCATATGTGAAATTCCACTCCAGCTGGTACGTGGTATTTGGCTGTCGAATCATAACGAAGCGCTTCGTCCATCATTTGCGACGAAGGCTTGCTTTCTTGCTTCGGTCATATTTGCTTTGAAAGAACAGCGTATATATTACGGCACCTCATGATCTGGTCTACTTGGTACGTTTTCCCAGTATAATCAGATATAGACCACCCCCTCCCCCCGTATTACATTTTGAACTTGACCTCGTTTTCTTTTGATTCAAACTTCATTTTCAGTGGAACTATTTCGAAAAGTTCTATGTATGTTCAGGGTGTGGTCGGCTTCCTAGTGTATTTCAAGCTTTCTGCAATCCTTCTTCATGTTACGGATCCTTTCGCACCCATTGAAAATTTGTTCTGTGCAGTATTCATGGGAGGCATCTGGGATGCGCTGTCAAGGTACTATTTTCAGTTTTTTTTGTGTGTGTGTTGTAATAGATCAGGTGTGAGGAGTAGAAGTGAATGTGGGGTGATGTACTTTTACTTCGTGCAGCGGACTTAATTATCCGTCGTAACTTGGCGGTTTAGGATTTCTTACGCTAGAAGCGCCAATTATTTTTGTGAACACCCGCGGGTTTCATGGATTTGAATCCATGGGTGTTCACAGAGTGATATTGAAAGCTTTCTTAGACCGTGATATGACGACATATCGGGCAGTTTGTGGAATAGGAATATGTCGAATGAACATCGTGGTGTTCATTGGAATTTGGTGTTCATTAGAATCAAGTCATTTCCAAGGTGGTCGACTCCAGACTGCGGCACAGCGGGTAAATTACAGGGGCATGACACCCTCCTCATTGTAAACGGTTGAAGACTAATACAGCAACTCATACGTCCTGATATCGGTTGCTCGAAACAGAGAGATAATCATGACACTTTTATCCCTAATCCTGACGGAGACTGAATGAAAAAGTAGGTGTATAGAGCGGCATATAGGGTCAGCTGGGTGTAGTTCAGCCTATCTGAGCCGCGGCGAAATAGGCACTGCAAGTGGTGTAAATGCGCGTGTAAGTCTGAATGTAGTTCGCATTGGGACTCAACTGGTTAAGGGTTGCACTGTCAAGGTGTTTCATAAGTTAGTAATAGGGAATACTGTGCTGATTTGCGCGCGATGTCGCGATGTCTCCAATGTTCTGAACTACACACGGATCCGGGTATGGGGCTTACTTTCGAGTTGCGGCACCGCGCGCCCTGGCAGTGTACTCCTTCGTTACTTGACTGGACAGAGAGGATAGTCGACTTGAGAGACACAGAAAGAATCGAGAGTCAACGTGCCGCAGCACTGCTGTCGGGAGTAACGCTTCACACTCCACTCCCCGGTAAAGCCGATGGATGAGACCACGCCTAAATCTGAAAATGCTTCTTACAAATCATCAAAAATGTGACGACTTTAGTTGTGGTCTTTTACCGCATACAGGGGGGGGGCAAAAAAAGTCATTCCGGCCGAGTCACATATGAGCGAAGTTTTCGCAGCCCAGACAGAGGAAGTGGATATGAGTACCAGGGCGGAAGATACCCAAGATCTTCCTCTATAAGCAGGAGCCGGCTGCCGCCATTCACCTTCATGTACACCAAAATATGAAGTCATCTCCAGTCGCGGCCTGAGTGGAGAACGCCTTTGGAATTCACGTGGCCTCCAAACAGCTGCGGAACTTCTTGAATGGAATCACCCATGGATAGCTACCTGGAGACCAGTACTCTTGATCTGCAAGACCTCAAACATCGAGCAGCTCCGGCAACGTCGCTACGGTCCAGGACATCATCTTCACCCCATTCACCAAGGCGCGGGTTGATGGTGTGGACCGGCCGTACCTGGAATGGATGAACCGATATTTTCTTCGTGGGCCCCAGACTGAGGGTGTGCGCTGGTGGCTACATCGAGCAACTCGAGGAGAATATCCCATCTTGCATGGCCCGTCGCCGCTATCTTCTGGGAAACTTATGTTACTGCCTACAGGACTTGGGGTGACAAACATTAACTCGAAGCGGCGTGTATGAAAAAACCTTTCCGCCTACTTAATGGGAAGAACGTTGGTAGTACCTGGAAATCGTCACTGGGCCGGCGCGAGTGGATTCAAGCGGGTCGGGTCCCGCGTCACTGAACTAAACCCCCTCAATTACTCGGTCGGGCGGAGCTCAACAGGGTGGTCTACAGTGGCGGAGAAATCAACGATCTCGCTCAACTCCGGTACCCACTCACTTTCGCGCGGCCGAATCTCTCGATGGCGCTCCTCCAGAAGGCTGTGGCGGAGTATCATTATAGTATTTAATGTGCTCTTTAATATGGTAGTAAAAATGTCCGATAAAAATTTAATAAAGTGTAACTTATAGCGCCTTGAAAGTCATGGAGGCAAAATGACTTTTTTTTGCCCCCCCCCCTGTATATCCCGAACTTTCAGTTCCTAAAGACTTGAGTTGGTTACTGTTGGTTCGGTGGATCCAGTTTCTAGGCGCGCAGTCGCCGAATCTCGGATCAGCTGCTGTCCAGTCCAAAATAGCAATCCAAAATTCCATCCATGCGCAATAGCAATCCAAAATTACATCCATGCGCAATCGATTTGAGACAAACTGTACCACATATTGTGGGAGGCAAATGGGTCCACAACTTCCCTAGCGTGCCACTTTCTTCTATCCAAGGTGCACTGGAATGGGTCCGAAGTGGTGCCTGGATGTCGTCTCCGTACTGCGCCCGCTCTATTCTCTAGGTGCAGCACTCGCTGCTACGGAGGCCACGCACTGAAACACGTATTCAATGACAGAGAACAGTCAGAAGTGAGAGGATGCAGAAAACCAGCTCGTTCGGCTATGGTTACGCGTGTGGAGGCGACGGCAGCGCGGGCGGATTATGGAGAAGGCATCCGGGTATCAATACCCTCCAGCCTGTCCCTGTACACTGTTGAGCGGAAAACTGCTTTGCCACTGCAGCTACGGACCGATAAACCGCACACGAGCGGAATCTAGGGAAGTGAATGTGCAGTTTTTTTGAATGGACAATCTGGGAGGACAAAAACGTTAACTTGTACAGCGACGGGCGACCTGCTAGCATCTGCATAGCCCAAATGGCATCCATAATGTCACCGGGACTCCGAGTGAAGTTGATTGCTTGGCACGTCGTAAAGAGGTAATGACCATCGGCGCCGAATGTTCTGAAATCACTAAGTTTATCGTTTTTGAGAAGGTAATGCTCAGAAAAGTTATTTAATTGGTATAGCTCCCGAAACTCCATGTTGAATGGGAGAGCAAAGATCAGTCGTAGTTAGTAGAAGTAAGTGACAGATAGGAGGATAGTGAGAATGGTTGAGACGGAGTCAGCTGCCACTACCAGTTTTTATTGCACTTTTTACTTGCAGAGCGCTGGCTGCAGCTCGTGAACGACGTGCAGCTGGACATGTCACTGAGAACGGAACGATCTCGAGTGGCGAGAAGAAGGATCAATAATTCTGGCGTTGGAAATCCTGGCATTTGGCTTCATATAATTCATATGTAGAAGTGTTGTTGGCAAAGCAAATATAGAACGAGAGCTTTACACGTTTTACTTCTTGGAAATGCCGACCCTCCTGCTCCGGTCACCGGTGAACTGCCAATGTTGACGCTCCAGATTAAAGCCATTGATGATTGCTCAAAATTGCAATATGTTGATAGTTTCTAATGACAATTGCCACGAGTATTTATTATGTAGTATCTATAGTTGTTGCGATAGTTTCCCTGTAGTCACTTTATAACTGACAGAGTGACATAATCTGATCTTTACGCTTTAGCTCTCATGTGTATTGCATCTGATTGAGCATCTAAGAGTTGTCTTATTATGATGAAAAGTAAAGTTTCGAGCTTGGAGTTGCTTTGATTGCATGGTGTGAATGTTGCACTGCACGACTACTTTAGCAAGAATGTGAACCAAGTGGTACTAACTTAACTTTTTTGTTTGTCAGAGAGTGCCGCATATATGTTCCATATTCCCATGTAATATCAAAAATCAAGAAATGGTAAGCTGTGAGCAACCTAAGCGAATGGGAAAGTCATCAGCGGCTAGACTTGATCAAATCCAGGTATGTATTGACCTACCTGTTGTTAATAATCCAGGACTAACAAGGGAATGGTTTCAACTTCTCCATGGAACTTTGAATGGAGACCTAGATACATCGATAGAGTCTCGAATGCTGATTACGAATATGCAGATTAAAAGTGCTACGGGGACCTCCCAGGCGAGTACTGGGCGATAAAAGTTTGCGAAAACTCAGTTTTGACTAGTAAGCGCTGCTCGATCACTGGGCTGTGGCACCGTGGCCTCTAGTGGTAACGGTCTCGCTTCAATACCAGTTCTCGTGGGTTGCATCCCGTTGGCGCGAAAATTTTTACTTCGCCTCCTGTGAGAGCTTTTACTCCAACTTCCCAATCTTCCGAGTTTACGGTTCAGCAGAGCAAGCAGATCAAGTATATGACGTACTCGATCGAGTATGCATCTGGTGACTATCTGCCCTATCTGAATTAGTACCCATCCGACAATTCAAAGTTTTGGCCAGAAACTAGTTCCTGGGAGATTTTGACCCCTGAACACGAATATTACATCCGTTTGACGAAAGATAGTGATCAATCCAGACTCGATCGACTGCGTCACATACTTGATCTGCTTGATCTGCTTGCTACGCATGCTTTCCAAGGAATTTATCGTGCCAACTGCCTTTAAAAGGTCTATCAAGAATTTATATAGATGTCCTCTCTCCATTTTGAAAATGCAGCTCGAAATGCGGCTTTTCAAACCCTTGAACTTTCACAGGCTTGACGAATTTACGTTGGATCTTAATCAGTAAGAAAGTGTGCGGCTTCAGCGCCGTGTACTAACAGTGCCTTTTAAACAGGCATTTTTCGGCAAGAAAAGTTTCAAAAATATATACAACGTGGCACAGTGCTAGCGGAGATAAACCAAGTTCAGGGACCTTTTCATGTTTCTCTGATGAGAATGCTAAGGGAAACGGGATGATTCTTACTTCCTTACACGTTTGGTAACATTAAACCGCGTTTGCAGGTCAGGGTTCGACCTATTCATCGTCTTCGAAGGCCTAGAAGGGATTTAAAGTTTTGTGGTTGTAATCTAACTGGCCGAGCCTTATAATGCTAGAACAGCTGCCTTGCTTCTTAGTTCTAAAAAGCGATCGACTCTCTAGCCACCTTCGTGTCCTCTCGCTATTCCTGCAGAAATGTTTTTTATGAGTCACAAAGAAGCTGTCGCCGCCGGTGTCTGCTCGTCTTACAGCGGCAGTTTACGGGATTGTTCACTGCTTAGCTTCCCGATCAAAAACGAATAAGGAATTGCAGAACGCTGGTACATTCTCAGTACATTTCGAGTCCGCACACTGTCTCCTATGCAGATCGAGAACAGCTCTTTTCCAGCGTAGTCTTTGACTTGAATAAATTTCAACAACAGTTTCCCATAAAGTCTCCGAATGAAGAACTAACCAGAATTAGACCACTTTCTTCACCGAAAGAGCTGCTTTCTACTTCTTTTGTCAACACGTTTAGGTAATTGAAGTTTGCCGAACAAATCTTGACGCAATCTGGCCATATCTTCTGGTGTCCCTCAAACAATCTGATTTCATAGCATTAGATTTAGTAAGTTCTGGTTGCCTTTTCTTATGAGCGAAGAAGCTATAGCAACAAATCTGGCTATAATCTGGCTATTAAATAGGAGTTATCCGGGCTGGGATCCCGACAAGCAAGCCATGCTAAGAATGTTGCTGATCGGTATGCAGCATTATGTGAAGCTGCTAAAACAAGGTTAGCCGTGAAAACCCTTCAGTTTTCATATAGCCATAAGGAGCGGCGACAACCTCGCGGCAAGGAGTTGTTATTTTCAGGAGTATTCTCTCTCTTGGATTAGCTTTTTTCAAGAAAACAGGACAAAGTGAATCAAAAAGACGATTAAAATTTTCTTGTCAAGTAAGTTGAATTGCAGTAACTTGCCATGCAAGAAACGTTCTAGTATCTCAACAGCATCCGAAGAAGTGTAGGTAATCTTACTAACTGAGCTTAGGACAGGTGGCAGGGCATAAAAATGACTTCAGCAGAAGCAGTCGCTCCTGAGTTCCATTGTGAATACCGCCTTGAAAGCTGATCTTACTCAATTTGAAAGAAATTTTTTTTCGAAGGATTATTAATTTGCTTCCAGGTTTTCAATATTCTCACACTGTGTGCCGAACCATTCACTGTTGAACCAGAAGCACTCGAATTCCTTGGAAATCATGCGTTTGACTTTAATCGATTAATTGACACAGGAGTTCGATATTATCCAAGTACAGTTTCGAAGGTGAGTGCGAGACATTGTCAGAACCTTTTGTTGAGAGTGTGGTGACTGTTTTCCGCCAATTAATGTCGCTTGCGCTTTTCAACAACTGCTGGAAAACTGGCTGGCGCCGTGCCAAATCCAGCTCCCCTAACGTGCCTCAGAATCGGCAAGGAACAACAATATACATTATACATACAACCACGATCACACCGCGATCATTTTTATGGGCACCCTGTCTTTAATTTTAGCCGATCTTGCCTCCAAGAAAACATCTCATCATGCGGTGCTATCCGGTAGTGCATGTCTCATAGTTCTTGCTCCTTCGATTACACACAACAGGTCTTCAAGTAACAATGACAATAAGTTCGCGCGCCAAGAGTTTGACCTAAATCGTTCTCCTACCCAGTGAGACAGTGCCACCCCTCAAAACCTCGTGAGACAGTGACATCTAAATAGAACGGTACAGGTGGTAGCAGTGTCGAAATGCTCCTAAGAACCTTCCTGTGGTGCAGAAAATCTAGAAATTCTACTTGGCTTACAGACTTATTTGAAGACCCACTACGGCACCTCACCCCGAAGATCGGATAGCTGTTCCGGTACTTCATTTGAGCATGACGGCGCGGCGTTTCTGGTGGCATGTTGCTATTTTGGGACAAATCTAATGGTCTTTGTCTAGCACAAGAACAGGGTCACAGTTGTCCCATATGGAAATGTTCTGCGAAAAACGAGTTCGCCGCCATGTTAAAATTAAGCACACGACCATCCTCTTCCCCAGGGTATGGGATACACATGCGCTGCTCTATCCTCACCACCTTTCCATCGCTTTGTGGCGTGGTGACTTTCATGACTGACTACTATTTGCTGTGATAAATGGTACCAGTTTTGTAGCCAAGCAAACACATGGCCATGGAATCTACACCGCCGTTATCGCCTTAGAACTAGCTAGCTCGATGGAGGCACCATCGGAAACCGTAAAGCGTCAATGATTAATCCTTATTGGGCATTAGCGTGTTTTTCAGCTACCTGACCTCGGTAAGAGGATAGGATTGAGTGGGCGCAATTCGGCGATGGAGTAGGGGGCATTTTGTACTTTTGCCTCTTCCCATCGACGTGTCGAGATCGAGAGAGCCTTATGGGAGTTGACAGGTTTTATCATGGTGGCTGGACGTGCTTTTTCCAGCTACGAACGAGTTTTTAGGTTTCACCACAGTGAGATTTGCAAACCGGAACTAGTGAAGCTGTGAAATTGCAAAATGCTCCCCCCTCTCCATCGCCGTACTGCGCCATTGAGGGGGTCGAGCAAGATTCGACATACAAAAATTTTAAATGGTAAGCGGTGATTCCTGCCATTGCCATCGCGGTTGATTGACATTGTTAATTCGTCTGCTGTACCGAGTGAAACGAATCTGGAATCTGTGCTGTGGAGTGTATTCCTTTTCCTTTTCGCTATGTTGCTTTTCTTTGCTTCTAATTGCTTCCTGTACATATTTAAGGATAATCTGGATAATCTTCAAGCTAGTCAAAGATCATAACGCATGCGCCTTTGATTGATATCTTCTCAGGATGTGCCACGCATGGCACTCACCCTTCCAATTGTAGTGGCTTTCGAGCGATCCGGCCTACACAGTAATTTATGGGTGCCAAGCGGTGTACTACCTTTTCTTCTCAAAACAATTTCGCACCATTTAGTAGGCATCGAAAGGCCTTGGTTGCCTCGGGCGAAAGTCGAATCAACCTTATCTGTCTGTCTGTCTACCGTGCGCGTGGTCACTGGCGCCTCCGCTTTGTCTGAGCTACCATGATTGAAATTTTTATAGCCTTTCAAGCACCGACGGTGGGCCCGATGACCGGGGAGTCCCCCGGCGGGGACAGGCGGTTGCTGCCAACGTCGTTCGTGGAAGAGCTGCGTGAGGGCATTTGGCCAGACTCCGTCCGGCCTTTCACCATAGTTGTTGTCAGCAGATGCCCCTGGCCATCGTGCTCACAACCTTTTAATAAGTAGGCCGCATCAGAGCTGTTAATGAGTAAACACTGTGAAAAAAAAACGTTTTCAGGCGTGTCCTCTCAGATCTCTCATGATGCAGTTGTTATCTCGCGGAGCCCCAGTGTTCCTTTCATAACGGTTTGGTGGATATAGTCTTTCTCTATCATCATTTCTACTCTCCATTACCAGAAAGGTAACACATTACCGTTTTTGATTCTCCTATATTTACTATAATTTTTCCAGAATTATAACTCTTCTAAACAATTACAATTTAGTTATGGAGAGTTCTGTAATGCTCTTGCTGATCTCTTTCCTCCAGAATCACCTATTTGCGATACAAAGTACTTGGCTGAGTATCAGACACGGATGACGGGGTCTTTCCTTGAATATGTCTTCCGAAAATGGTAAGTGAGCACACGTCGCATAGTGGTGCATTTCTTAGGCACTACCGAGACCCAACCAGGTTTTGATCTGGCAGTTCAACGACAGTGTCCGCAAGCTCTATGGGAAGAACAGATTGTAATTCTCAGTACCACTTCATGAAAGCTCTGATCTCTCTTGCAGTCATCTCTGCGTTTGATACAGGAAGTGACAGAACATGTGAGCAGATCCTAGACAGCTTTCATATTCACAACTCGAAATGATTGACTGACGGGCGCTGGCACTCAAGTACATGCATCGTTAGTGTGCAACAGATTTTTGGGGGGGGGGTGGTGTGGATTTAGCGTTTGTTGAATGAGGGAGGAGGATAAGTATTGGATTTGGAGACATTTGCCTGCGTTGGGAAAGATTTTTTCCGGTGTTGAATTTTTTCGCTTTTTTCCCTTTCGCTGTTTAGCTATTATCTTCCTGTTGATGGCACCTCTAACAAAACTACGCTGTAGTTCCGATAGTTGTGAAAAGCTCTCTGGTTGGTCCCCCCCCCCGTTCGACGGAAGATTTCGAGTGAAAAACTGGTAGGAAGCTGTGAACTTGTAGGGATGGAAGGTAGGTAAGGTAGGTACCGGGGGGAGGTCGTACTGGTACCACCGTTTGACGCATCATCACGATACTGTACCCTGGCTGCACTGGTTCTCGTTGAGCTACTGAAACTTCTAATTCACTCACCGCTTGCCTCGACTTCTCTGTAGTGTATCAGTATTCTTTAAGACCATAATAGAATTGTCAGCCTCTACAAGCTCTTGAACCCGTGGTCGAAAGATATCTAACCCCAAATGTGATGACTGACCCAAAGTTGCGGCGGTCCAAACGATTAGCTATGGAATGCTTTGAGTAGCAGTCGTTCGGCTGGAGCAATCTATTCCCCCATACATCTAGAGGAGAAACCTAGATGATCGGACGGTGATAGATTCATACCAACTTTTAGCACACTCCTGGGTGGCTGCCTGAACTTTATCGCATCCTTTACGAAATAGGTTTTCCTGAAGTTCCCAGTATGGATAGCAAATTTGTAGGATGCGTTTATTGAAACCGGTACCCAGAACTTTTTTCTTGCAAAAAATAAGGATCTGTCTTTGTTACTTTTTTTTAAAGTGAGTATAAAATGTGTTTCAGTCAAGGTGATAACGTACGCGAATCTCTAGAGCCGCGCTGGCACTTGAAGATCACATTTGACGACACCACCTCGATGATGGCGCCATACGAGAAGCGTGCGAAACTGTAGGACTGTCGCCTTCCAACAGACTTTCCTGATCATCCTTTGCCCTACGATTTAGCGGAGAAAGTTTGTGAGCAATTTTCGGTACGTGATACCTGAAGAGAGTAGTTCTTTGTTACGATCTCACTCCGTCGTTACTACTAACCATTTCAGAACCATGGATTCTGTCGGAAACAACGTCAAGGCCATTGCCCTTTGCTTCATGATGTTGATTTTGCAATAGATTTAGAACAAATACGTCAAGAACGAAATAGGAAGAAGCGTAAGAGGAGGTGATTCTTTGGAATAAAAATAAATACTAAAGAAATATGAAAATAGCGAGCGTTGAGCACCACGTCAAGGCTCCAGAATTGTTCAGCTAACCATGAGTTCCACAGCCATTTGTGAAATTGGTGCAATTCTATCGAAATTGTTAACGTTTAGAAATATAATTAGCTGATTCGAAGGTGAATGTGGTGAACTGGAGCTACATACTAGAGCGCTCGCTTGTCGCGCTCGACTTGGTACCAGACGTTATCTGGCGGGGCAGAATTACAGT